ACAGAAAATCAACATGGGACGGACCGTATATTGATTGCAAAGAGACATCAACGTATTTATGCAAACCTGTATATCAATAGCAATGTCAAATTATATATATATATATATATATATATATAAAGGCCTTTTAAACCCTTCCCACACTCTTGCAATGTTCTTAGCCCCGGATGCTAATGCTAAAGACGCTCTGCAGAAGCTTCATGACAACATCAGCTTGCTGCAAAACAAGCATCCGGAGGCTTTTTATGTGGTAGCTAGTGATTTTAATCACGTCAACCTGAAAGACACCGTGCCAAGATTTTATCAGCATGTGACCATTCCAACATGGGGAAATAACACACTTGGCTGTGTTTACGCCAACATCTGAGACGCATGCAAAGCCGTACCCGCATCGGCTTCTCTGACCACATCTCCATCTTTCTGGCCCCTGTTTACCTCCCCCTGCTGAGACGTTCCAGACCCCCACAGAGGACCGTCACTGTATGGCCCAGTGACAGCAACTCTGTACTGCAGGGCTGTTTTGCATTCAGACTGGCAGATCTTCAGGGAGCCTGCTGTAAATGAGGGAGAGCTGGATTTGGAGGAATACACATCTGTCGTCCTTGGATATATCAGCAAGTTTGTTGATGATGTCACCATGACTGTGAAGTGCTACCTGAACCAGAAACCCTGGCTGAATGCAGAGGTCCATATCCCGCTGAAAGCCAGGCATACTGCCTTTAGGTCTGGTGACGCACAGGAACTGGGGAGGGCAAGAAAAGAGCTGGCTGCTGGTATTAAAAAGGCCAAAGCAATATATGCATCCAGAGACATTTCTCCTCACAAGACACTCTTTAACTCCTCCCTCACCCTGGCAACTATTCTCACCTGCTTGAAGAATGTCACCATCATCCCAATTCCTAAGAGCTCTGCAGTGACGGGATTGAATGGCTACTGGCCAGTAGCCCTCAATCCAATAGTCGCTAAATGTTTTGAAAGACTGGTCATGACCTACATCAAAGCTACCATCGACATCAGTGAGGACCCTCATCAGTACACATACCGCAAAAATCCATCAACAGCAGACACCATCTCCTCTGTGATCTACACTGCTCTCACCCACATGGAGCAGAAGGACTCTTACGTCCGTGGACTTCACATCTGTCTTCAACACCATGATCCCCCAGACCCTGATGGACAAACTACTCACACTAGGACTAAGCCCCTCCATTTGCAACTGGGTCCTAGACTTCTCAACAATCAGACCACAGTCAGTGAGGATCCACAACTTCTTTTCCACCATAACCCTCAGCACTGGCTGCCCTCAGGGCTGTGTGTTGAGCCCCCTCCTGTCCACTCTGCTCACATAAGACTGTGCACCTGCCCATCCAGGCTGTCACATTGTAAAGTTTGCAGATGATACAACGGTGGTGGGATGCTTCCCAAACAACGATGAGTCCAGTTACAGGCAGGAGGTGGAACACCTGGAGAGCTGGCGCAGGAAGAACAACCTTCACATCAACGTGAAGAAGACGAAGGAGATGGTTGTGGACGTCAGAAGGAGCAAACATACCCCCCCCCCCACACACACACACACACCACCACCACCACCGAACATAGGAGGATCTGTGGTGGAAGTGGTCTCCAGCTACAAGTACTTGGGTGTGCACCTGAACAACAACCTCAGCTGGAGCAACAACACCACCAGCCTGATGAAGAAAGATCATCAGAGACTCTACTTCCTCAGACGGCTGAGGCGAGCTGGTCTGGAAGCTCAGTCCTCACCTCCTTGTCCAGGTGTGCAGTGGAGAGCATCCTGTGCTCCAGCATCAACGTGTGGCATGGAGGCCATATTTGTCATAACAGCAGTGAACACAAATCACCTGAGTCATGTGGCTTCCATTTTACAGAAGCCCCACCCTCATTTGTCAGCCTGAAGACTGGCCAGCAGGCCAATTACCATAGAAACAACCTTAGCCAATCAGAAAGCTAGAATTTTCCCGTTTTTGTGTATGTGTGTGTGAACAGGGCAAGAACGCAGACACATCGGAGAATTGGGGGCTAATGTGGAGAAAGCTTGGTTCAAACAAAAAGCTGCTGTGTAAAAACTACAAGATCTATCTTTGGAGAAAAGAAGAAACGTTTCAACATTTTTTAAATCCGTCCAGAGGACCTGAATTAACTTCATTAGATATAAGGTCTATTGACCATATATTGATAGTAAACTTAGAAAGGAGAATAAAAAAGGCAAGTTCTGTAAAACGGCAGCATGATGCTGAGCGCTGACTGAGCTCGTTAAAATACGTTCAACAAGGTGAAAATGGATTATTGCAGCCCAAAGGATCAGGACAAAATCTGAAAGATAAAATTAGCACAAGCTAGATTAGCAAAAAAATTGCTAAATGATAAAAGCAGCTGAACAGTAGGGGAATGCTAGAATTAACAAGCAGGTTTACACGTATGGCGGCAGCCATCTTGGATTCTGACGTGGCAACCAAATTTTCTAACGGTGACTTTTCTTACACCTAGAGGCAGCAACACACCAAAACAGAAGGCGGTACCTCACTCATTTTTCACATTATGTTCACAACATGCATAACAGACGGACAGAATTTTCAACTCCCCCTGTTCGCTCTGCATCGGCGGACAATAAAAAGGACAGGGCTTATCTGAGAGGGGCTAAATGGGAATGGGAGCAGCGTGGTCATCTGAGTGTTAGTAATGCTTTAACAACATCGCAACAGCCTGAGGAGCGTTTCAGTTAAAAGCAGAAGAGATTCTGTCAATATGAACACAAAGGAAATGATAAGGAGGCATTACTGACAGAAACACGACTGGAAAATGTAAGTTTAAAATATTTAACCTCAACATTTTAATAAACAAGCTCATGTTACATTTTTACATGTGCACAGGACAAATCATCTTAACAACTGAAAAACTTTAAATGTATTAGACTTCTATAAACAGTAGGTCTAATGAAAACATACTAAAATAATAATGCAATACATAAATTTAGGATGCACTGTTACCGACGAGGCAAAAAGAGCAAATTAATCGTATTAAAGAAAAGAAAAACGTTTTCTGTGAACATGCAGTGTGAAAGCTGAGGCCTTGGTTGAAGAATAAACTGTTAGCTAAACTGCGAACAACAACCAAAGGCTAAACGAAAAGCAGCAAAACAGTGGCTAAAAAATAAATAAGCAAAACTTAAAATTAGCTGAACAGTATTTTATTTATCATTAGTGTAAAATGAAGCTGATTTCAAAGAGAATATTTTGAAGCAATTTAAGAGTTCTCAACGTTTATTTAATTTTATTTGCAAATAAAGTAAATAATCGTATTTGAAAAAGTATAAAGGTAATAAAAGTCACAAGTCATAGCACGCCATTCAGCATCGAGCTGAACATTTTAGAACATGATAAAAATAAAAAACGTTTATAAGAAACTACAAACAGGAAAACAACCGTGTGATTGAAGCTTTTAGTCTTTAAAAAAGTAAAGCTGCATTCAAAAACCTTTCAATTACATTTAAATAAACATTATACTAAATGTCATCCCAGATGTTGCTGGAACTTCTCCAAAGAAAACATCTGGTACATTTCAAACCCAACAGGACCCTCAGACAGAGGCCGGTCCAACCCAAGGACAGAATCCCCAACAGTCCAGAGTGGGGCACATGTGGGTGGAGGCGGATGAGGGTGGAGACAGATGTGGGTGGAGGCAGAGGACAGTGGAGGCAGTTGTGGGTGTTTCATCTTTCTCACCCAAATATTTGATGATACAGGCAGAGGGATTCAAACCAGCGACCTTGAATCACAGGTTTGCCTTTAACCTCTGCACCACAACTGCCCCTTGCACTAGTATGGTACTAGTAAAGTACTATTATTATAACACTGGTACAATCATAGTACTAGTACTAGTAAAGGTGTAGTACTATAACACTGGTACAATCATAGTACTAATAAAGTACTATTATTATAACACTGGTACAATCATAGTACTAGTACTAGTAAAGGTGTAGTATTATAACACTGGTACAATCATAGTACTAGTACTAGTAAAGGTGTAGTATTATAACACTGGTACAATCATAGTACTAGTAAAGTACTATTATTATAACACTGGTACAATCATAGTACTAGTACTAGTAAAGTACTATTATTATAACGCTGGTACAATCATAGTACTAGAAAAGTACTATTATTATAACACTGGT